TGTTTTTAGATAAATTGAGATATTTTAGCATCTTAAGATTAGATCGAACCTATAGTCTATATAATTTTGTTCTGTTACTTAAACACTGGTGACTTCCTGTTCACATGCAATGACTGTTCTTCCAGTGAAAAAAGGCTAACACCCACCTGACTTACAATATATCACCAGAGGTAATGACTATTTGATCGCTTCATCATCATTCACGCGGGAACAACTTTAGTGGTGTACAACACAAAGCAAACGAATCTAGCAATGATTGCTCTACAAGAAACATTGTCTGAAGCAACCTGATGAGCCATAAGCAAATATCTAATATGGCGCTGAACAATCGCAAACATTCTTACCTTTACTCCGCTGCACATGTCTAATCACACGGAGATAATCTAATGGCACCGCTGAATTATGAGCTTTTTTCTGGCGGTAATTATCAGATAATAAATGGACAACAACTTATTAATTCATTTTCCTTCGGCTTAGGCCTTATTCAGCAGGGTTTGCCACAGCGGAATGAACCACCAACTTATCCAGCATATGTTTTACACAGCGGATGCCCTTCCAGTTGCAACCAAGTACTGGGAAAGGATTTAAAAACTATTTAGCTAATTTTGCGGGCTATTTAATTCGATAAACACTGTAACATGCTGGGCACCCGACACAAATTAAATTAACTCAATTGTGTTTACAAATTTTAGTGGATTGAACATTAAACAAAAATGGCGAATTGAGTTTATTCAGCTCATTTTAATTAATAAGAGCAGCACAAAAATTTTATTTTCTGAGTAAAAGTCTTCCTTTAAAAGTAATATAGACTACAAAAAACACAATTTTAGTTCATTAATAAATTCGTTTCTTTTTCGGCTTAGTCCCTTTATTTTATCAGAGGTCGCCACAATGGAATGAACCACCAACTATTCCAGCATTTGCAGTGGATGACCTTCCGGCCGCTACTCAGTATGCTGGGAAACACAATTTAATGATAATAATAATAACAATAATAATAATAATAATAATAATAATAATAATAATAATAATAATAATAATAATAATAATAATAACAATAGAAGCCTAATTAATTTATTCATTTTCTTTTCGGCTTAGTCCCTTTATTAATCAGGGGTCACCACAACGGAATGAACCACCAACTATTCCAGCAGCAACTCGGTACTGGGAAACACAATTTAATAATAATAATAATAATAATAATAATAATAATAATAATAATAATAATAATTATAGTCTAATTCATTCATTCATTTTCTTTTTGGCTTAGTCTCTTTATTAATCAGGGGTCACCACAACGGAATGAACCACTAACTATTCCAGCAGCAACTCAGTACTGGGAAACACAATTTAATAATAATAATAATAATAATAATAATAATAATAGTCTAATTAATTTATTCATTTTTTTTATCTTAGTCTCTTTATTAGTCAGCGGTCGTCACAACGGAATGAACCACCAACTATTCCAGCATTTCCAGCCGCAACTCAGTACGTGTAAACACAATTTAATAATAATAATAATAATAATAATAATAATAATAATAATAATAATAATAACATTAATAATAATAACATTAATAATAATAATGATAATAATAATAATAATAATAATAATAATAATAATAATAATAATAATAATAGTTGTTGTTGCTGTTGTTGTTGTTGTTGTTGTTGTTTTTGTTGTTATTATTTATTTATTTATTTGCCTATTATTATTAGAATTAAGAATAAATAATTTGCATTTTCGCAGCAGCATTGATCGATGGTATTTGCTCATGAGATCATTCTGGCGCAGACATTGTGTCTCTATTGTGTTCGTTGAATTCGTTTTACATTGTGAGGTCAAAGTACATGCAGGCAGCCTGATAAAGACTCTCTTTGTAGTGGCCTAGAACGCAATAAATAGCCTAGTATAACATATTGTATATATACCAGGGGAAACCATTCATTCCCGTAAATAACTGAATGCTGTGATTTCGGTAAATGCCGTGTTAAGATCTTTAACATGTTTATTTTGATCATTAAATCAGGTTTCAGAAAAAAAAAAACTTTAATATAAAAAGAAGTGACGAAACTTTAAATAAAAGCTATGCTCACAATATTTAATATAGCATTAATGTACCTTTAATATATGAAATGCCAAAGGGAAAGTCTAATTTGTGTTTTGGTAAAATAGCTAAATAAATATAATTTATTCATTCATTCATGTTCCTTCGGCTTAGTCCCTTTAATTATCAGGGGTGCCCACAGCGGAATGAACCGCCGAAATTGTATTATTATTTTGTGTAAGCACTGCTTTTTAATTTAATTTAATAAAAATGAAAGCCTTTAAATTTAAAGAATTATTTATATAGCCTAGATTATTTAGCTATATGTCAATACACTTTCTACCTAAACGCGAATTTTAAACAGTGTTTTTCTCTCTCTTTCTACAAAAAAGAAGGCTGATAATTTGATTTACCTCCATTATTAGAAGAGACAGACACACATATGATGGCAGGACACAATGCAGACTCATGCATTCACACACACACAGACACACACTCCTGTCAAACTGTCTGGACAGCGTTTCTACAGAGATAAATATAGATAAAAGCTCCAATGCGTGACTGTGTTTTTAATGCAATTTTGCACTGCACACGATTTTCCTTCACAATTTCAACGAGAAAGAGTTGTAGGGTATATAAATACTACAAATGCATATTTAAAAAAAACAAATAAAGCAATGGCAATTTTGAAAACACAATTAAAAATCAGTGTTATATAATTTATACACAGCAATTTACACTGTGAAAAAAATGCGATCAATTAGTTATGACAGCATGTATTTTTAGTTCATTGTAACTAATTAAACTAAGTTAATCATGTTCTAACGTAATATTATAAGCCACACAAGCTGATTTAAGTCGGATTAATATAATACAAGATCGATAGACTCATAAGGTAAACTGATTCAGCTGAAAACATTAAGGTTTTAATACAGTGTACTCAACTATGTTAAAATATAATAACCTAGTAGGTCACCGAATAAACTGACTAACAACAGTCAGAGAGCTCAATCGCGACATGATTAATCTAATTGTCATCCTCCAATACCTGATCAGGTCACTACACAATGTATATTCTGCTTGAACGCATTATCGGCGGTTCAAAGTCAAGCACTCAGTAATGCCTGTTGCCCGCTGGTTGTTTGTGCAGGATCTTTTACAATCCTAAACGATGCCCCATCGTCTTAGATGAGCTAATTAGCAAACGACCCTGATTTGCATATGCACAGACATCAAAACTGCTAGAAGTGATTTCATCAGTCGTGATTTACTCTTACACTCTAAACAGAACTGCTGGGTTATTTCAACACAAATTGTATTTAAAACAGATTATATGCTGTGTTATATTGCTGTCTGAAATGCTAACTAAAATCGACATATATTTTAAATTATGGGTAATAAATGATGGGTTATTTCAAACTAAAATGATCAACAAACACACACGTTGGGATGAATTTGGTTCCATAAATTAAATGATAATAAAAATTATAAGCCAGCAGTTATTTTTGTACATCTTTACCCCAATATTTATCGGGAATAACCCAGTATTTTTAGTGTGAAAATGATGTCAGTTCCACCAAATTGTGTGCAAATTATGTACAAGCATTGCTTTAAAATTGGTCAATAAATTGAATTCAAAATACTTAACCCAGCAGTCCAATAATATAGACAAAAATATGGACTTCTGGGTTAAATATTTTTGGGATCAATTTATAGACCAAATTTAAAGCAATGCTTTATTTTAAATATTGGGGTAAAATATGTACTGTATAATGTTTATTATTATTTAATGTATAGGACCAAATTTATTATGATTATTTATTAACTTTAGGTTGTGTCCATAGTTTGCCCATTTTAGTTTGAAATAACCCATTTTTTATTGCTACGCAATTATGCACTCAAAAATGCTGGGTTATTTCTACTATATTTTGGGGTAAATACTGCTGGGATATGGTGTTTTATTATTATGTAATTTACGGGACCAAATTTATCCCAACGTTTGTGGTTTGTCCATATTTGTCCATTTTAGTTTGCAATAACCAATCATATTTACCTAGCATTTTTACACTCTAAATGTTGGGTTATTTAAACTATATTTTGGGGTAAATATGTACTGTTGGGATATATATAAATATTATTATTATTATTATTATTATTATTATTATTATTATTATTATTATTTAGTTTATAGGATCAAATGTATCCCAACATTTGGGTTTGTCAATTTTTTGCCTAATTTAGTTTGAAATAACTCACCATTTATTACTTAGCATTTTAAAATGCGGGGACATTTTAATTAAATAGTGGGGTAAATATACAGCTGAGATATATTATTTAAATTATAGGACCAAATTAATCCCGGTTTGTCCTTATTTTGCCCATTTTAGTTTGAAATAGCCCATCATTCATTACGCATGGTTTAATATATGAATCGATCAGATTTTAGTTATCGAAAAGCATTTCAGATTGCAACATAACACAGCATATAAGTGCTCCGGTATTTAAGCTGTGCAAATGACGCTTTAAATAACAGTTCGTCCATCTTTAAGTAATTTCGTAGCGAAAATAGACTTAACTTGTCCTAATAAATCCGCTGACGCATTTAAATACGGTCCTCCTTCACGCGAAAACTCGGTTAGATTTCTTAGACTCGCATTTTCCATTCGACATCAAGGACTTGAAAAGTAAGTAAGGTGGAAAGTGAAGAGCAGCTCCCCTATCGAGCAGATGTGTTTGCTCAAGCTGGAGTCCAATCAGAGGCCCGGAGCCTAAAAGGCGCCTCCTCTCTTAACCATCGTCACGAGTCAACGGAGAACTTTCAGTCCTAATAGTTCTCCAAGTCCTGCAACCACAGAACCGCTGGATCCTGCGAACACCAACTTATGGCAAACCACCAATAGGTCAGTGGTGACTTTTTCTTCCCTCGTCTTGGTTATAAATGTCTTCCCGGGCTCCTGTCAAACATCTGGTGTTGGTGCTGAGTTCAGTGCCAGTTGAGGAGAGCCGAAATCATTTCGAGTATTTTTTACCCTGCCTCTCTCTCTCTCTCTCTTATCTGTTGTGGGTCTTATCAAGTGGTTATCTCTTTTCTGCAAAGACATATTACGTTTTGTTTCCTATCTGTTACGTTGGGTGTTTTTTGGGGTAATTATGATGAGGCTACATGAAGAGGGAGGACGGACTCACGACACGGATGGATTCAGATCTTCAGCGTAAAACCCTGTATGGGGTGTGTGTGCGTGCGCATGTGTTTTCTGGGAATATAGTCCATTTGTGCTCAGTCATTCATGTCACGCAGTTCAACTTTCAATTTAGGACATTACAAGACGACACAAAAATCATAAATTTCCCGAGTAAGTTTTAAAATGACCATTACGCGCTTGTGAGAAACTAATGCCTTCATGTGTAAAATGAGAACATGGATTTCCTTCAAAAACTGCGCAAATAATAAAAGATGTAGTGCTAAAATGTCAAACAGCATTTTAAAAGGTACTTTAATAATTAGATTTTTTTAAATAATTTTTTTTTCATAATGATTTAAGCCCCTCTTCGGTTTTCTTGGACATATCGTTGTGATCTTTTTGTGTGTTTAACTCTCTCTTTGTTAAGCCTTTATTTATTTCCGACATTTATATATGTTATTTTTTTCAGTGCACTCTTCATTTTCCACACACTGTGAGATATAAAAGGGATCCTGGATGGACCTGGGTGATAACAGCTGGTCCATGGTCAAGCGCGAAGTGTCCAGCAGCAGCAGCCCAGGGTCTCCGGCTGAGCAAAGCTACCTGAACACTGACCGGAGGGACCGGCTGAGATCCCCGGCGCCGACTCACCTGGACCCGGTGGGATCCCGTCGCGCGGAGGGCAGGCCCCTACACTCCTACGTCCACTTCGGGCATCCTAACAACGCCCTGCCCAGTTCTGACGACGTTACACTCTTCACGGATTTAGACCAGGGCAACAAACTCATCATCTCAGGTGGACACCCCAGGGAGACGCATAAGGGAGGCCTCATTGTGGACCCTACCGACATGTATCAGACCCTGGCCATCGCGGCGGCCCAGAGCCAGGCCGGTTATAACGACACGCCGTCGGCCGGTTACATGCACTCCAACCCCACTTCTCCCGTTTATGTGCCTACGTCTCGCGTTGGAACGATGATACCGAATTTGTCTTACCTGCCACCCGGCGTGTCAACACAGCCGAGCCACGCGGTGAGCAGTCACTCGGTGTGGTCTCAGCCCGCGCCCGAGAGCCCGTCCTACAGCACTGGAAGCCCGCATACCTCCAACCGGTTCCACTACTCCCCAAGTCCGCCGATGAATAACGGCACATCGAGGGATACCAGCTACACTACTCCTCTGAATGTAAACAGTCGCGACCAGTACCTTTCAAGACCGATAAGTGGATCTTACCCGAGCCCGTACCCTCCGTATGTCACACCGCAGCTCTCACAGCTACCGGCGGCGTGGCCCGCGGGACCCTTCGAGAACTCCATGCTGCACTCACTGCAATCCCGAAGCGCACCGCTGGCCATCAGGGGCCCCAACGGAGGTGAGCTGTCGCTGATCATCACACAGAGTATATGTGCTGTATATTTCTGACTATGAAATTAAATAATAATAATAATAATAATAATAATAATAATAATAATAATGGTGTAATAATAATACTAATACTTCTACTACTACTACTACTACTACTTATAATAATAATAATAAATGCATAAATAATAATAAATATATACTTGAACGGCCATTATGATAATATTAATAATATAAGATAATTTAATATAATAATTATATATATATATATATATATATATATATATATATATATATATATATATATATATATATATGATTTATTTTGCGTATTAACTAGTCGAAACTATTTTAATTTTATATTTTTTAATTATTAACATTAAATGTATGTCGAGTTCAGATGCAAAAAAAAAAAAAACTCTGTGTCACCTGAAAGTTTCTTCTAATATTGCCATTTTTTTCTTAGGCTTGTATGTCTTGGTTCAGAAATTTTACTTTTATGGTAAATAATGAGTTGTTTTCATCGCTTTCAACATGAAATAACTTCACATAAACATAAGAGGCTTAGAAAAATAATGATTGTAGTAGAAAATTACAGATGGAGGTTTTTGATGTACTTGGAGGTTTTTGCATCTGAACTCTTCATATATATATATATATATATATATATATATATATATATATATATATATATATATATATATATATATATATACAATTTTAAAGTTGATTATTAAATATATTTAATTAAAGTAGTTTTGACTTATATTGCGCAAATTTAATTATTAAATAAAAGAAACAAATGAGTAATTGAAAAAAAATGGTAATGTATCTTCTCTTTTGTTTAGCAACAGGTGGAATATCGGACTGTATTTTTCTGAATATAACTATATGGTTGTAGAAACTTTTAAAACACTAGTTTAGATCTTTTTATTGACCACTTTTCTATAAAAAAGTCTCTTTTAAAGCTTTCCATTTTTGTGCTCTGAAATTCTCCGCCAAAAAAAAAAGTCAATACAATAGACTGCTTTAAAATAAAAATAGCATAAAAATACGTATAAAATACGTGTAAAATTTATACAATTGTTATCCTTTAATACCACAAGTAGATAATTGTGTAGCCTTGTTAATTGTTTAGTGACAATTTAAAGTTACATGTTGCCTTTGTAGGTAGCCTATGTTAACGAAGTTAGATATTACTATTTCTATATAGCCTAACATTGCGTTATCCATTTTAGTAATGTCAATTAGAATAAAAATATCGACGATTATCCAACAACATACATGGTGCAAATTCGCCATACGCAGAAATTTAATGAGAAACCCTCAATCAAAAAAATGGCGTTTGCTGTTTGAAGTGAGCGGCGACAACACAATTCTTGGTTTGTTTTGGAAGACAACTTAATTGTTTAAAGTCCAATCCACTTAAATTTGTAAAAATGAATAATTTAACTTATTTCCTCCATGCTGTCCCAGTGCAAATCGTTTGTGTGGAACCCACCATTTTTTACAGTGAATCTCATCTTGTCATTAATGCCATTAGTCTGTTGCAAGTGCCATTAATGCGCGATTTATTGACTGAGTGCTTTCTGCGTGTGTCAGATCTGCTGGAGGAGATGGTGGAGAGCCGGGAGTGCGTAAACTGCGGCTCCATGTCCACCCCGCTGTGGAGACGCGACGGCACGGGACACTTTCTCTGCAACGCCTGCGGGCTGTACAGCAAAATGAATGGACTCAGCCGACCATTAATTAAACCTCAGAAGCGCATGGTAAGTGAGCACCGGCTCGACGAGCTACTCAACCACTCAATTTCCTGCCTATTTATTTCAAACAATAGCCAGAGGTTATCTGGGAACATCTTCACAGCTCTACTCCCATAATAAACGCTATTTTTATTGGACACGTTTGCAGGCGTTAAGCGTTTATTGTTTATATACTTGGGGGGAAAAAAGATACTGCGCACGTACTTTGTTTTATGTGATCTGCACCACAAAACCAGCAATGTGTCATTTTATTGCCTGACAACTATTCAAAATTAAATAAATGAATAAATAAATAAATAAATATTAAGTGAAATGGCCTTTTATTTTTCCGATTAAGTGCTTAGCGATGCATAATATTAATCAAAAATTAAGTTTTGATATATTTACAGTAGGTAATGTACAACATATTTTAATGGAACATGATCTTAACTTAATTTCCTAATGATTTTGGCACAAAAGAAAAATCTATAGCCTTCATTTGATGTTACAACGTACTTTCGGCAATTGTTAAAAATATACCTGTTCAACAAAAGACTGATTTGGTGGTCATATATTAAAAATAGAATATTTTCAGAAAAAATCATATTTTTATTGTTTAAATATTGATTTTTTTGATGACCCATGTAGCCTAATAAACAAATTAAAACATGGTATAGAAAAATTAACACATTTGACCCATACAATGTACTTTTGGCAATTATTTTTACAATATACCTGTGCAACATGAGACTGGTTTGGTGGTCACTTTTTAAAAATAGATCATATTTTTATTGTTTAAATATTTGTGGAATTGCTTCTAAATCAACACTTTTAACCCATACATTCTACTTTTGGCAATTGTCAAAATATACCTGTTTTATACCTGTCAATTCTGCTTTATACTTTATTATTTCATGAAAATAAATCTTATTTTTATTGTTTAAATATTTGTGGAAGTGATAATCCATCTAATAAGTTTAATCAAATAAAATATTGCGTATCGTCTAGAAAAATTAAGACTTTTGACCCATACAACCAAACCAATGGCGGTTTAAATGGCACACTGGGCAAACCACCCCATATACATCCCGCCCCGTTAATAATTTGTTATAAATATACTTATATTTCTTACAAATGAATGACATTACTATTATTATTATTATTATTATTATTATTATTATTATTATTATTATTATTATACTCTAAATCAGGGTTTCTGCAGGTTTCACCAAGGTAAATTTAAGACTTTTTAAGACAATTTTGAATGAAATTTAGGATTTGTTTTCAAATATCCCAGTTATAAAAGATTTTCACTTTCCCTATCAAAAAATGATAAAAAATTAATCCATTTAATAATACAGCAAGAATAATAATTTAATTAGAATTGTTTTTATTAATTTTCAAATATATCCATTCACAAACCCTATAACCCTTACCAAGAATAGAACAAAACATTACTGTCAATTACTCTAGTATATAGTATAGGTCAGGTCAGTATCCCTAGCAGTAAACAAATGAAGAACTTTAAAGCAAATGTTACTGTATGGAAAGTAATTAAATGCTGTATTTAAATAAAATGTTAAACGTTTTATATACATGAACAAAGAAAAAAATAAGACCTGTTTAAAAAAACACCTAACACAATATTTCAGACTTTTTAATGCCTAAAATATAGCTTTGGATATTTAAGAGATTTTAAGACCCCGCGGACACCCTGTAAACAGGTTAAATAACATAAATGAATGGACTGATATGCTAAGATCACTTTTGCATAAAATTTTGCATGAAAATTAATGACAATTCTATAGAATACAACAGAAATATGCTTTATGGAATTATCTGTTTTCTTAGACCCGACTCGTGGCCGAGAATTAATGTTATTATTACCTCCCTCCCTGACTCATTAACCCTCCTTTCTGCTTCATGCTTAGTCAAAATAAGATCACCATCATATTATATAAACTTTAGTTTTGTCGACTTGGAAAACACACCTCTGCATAAAAGTTACTCCGGTTTCACAGCGCATGAGCGGCGCATATTTTATTGAATCACATGTGAACAACCGGGATTCACACCGGGAGCAGAGCAGGGAATGGTTTGCACCAGCTTTGTTTTGGTTGCAGATAGAGAGTAATTCATTCCAGAATTCCAGAATTTTTGCATCGTCTTTCCGTGCTGCCCCCCAGCAAGATGCCACACTGGGCGATCGGCCATATTGCCCATAATCCACCACTGCATACAAGATACTTTTGGCTTTTGTTAAGCAAGACTGGTTTGATGGTTACATATAAAAAATATATTTAAATAAAAAAACGTTTTTTATTGTTTAAATATTTGTGGAATTGATGATCCATTTAATAAGTAAAATAAATACAATTATTCGACAATATTGATTTATTCCGCCAGTAATTGATCACAATAACACGATGAATGCATGCCTGGACACTTTTTAAAAAATATATAAATCGCTGTCAATTAATGTCATTGTAATTCCTTTTATCTCCAGTCTTCCTCCCGGCGGATCGGACTGTCATGCGCAAACTGTCAGACGAGCACCACAACACTGTGGCGCAGAAACGCGGAGGGAGAGCCCGTGTGCAACGCCTGTGGTCTTTACACCAAGTTACACGGGGTAAGTCATATTGGAGACACTCAAAAAAGCAATGTTTTCTTGGTTAACTTAATTTGTGTAGGGACAACTTGAAGGAATTGTGTGAATCCCTGTATGTTTTATAGTGTATTATAGCCTACCTGCTCTATTTCATGCAGGTTAAGAAATGGCTGACTTTAAAGCGTCAAACATCCTTGTATTTAACACCAACTTAGTTCTGTTTTATACATATGCCAAAATAATTGGCGGTTCATTCCACTGTGGCGACCTCTGATAAATATTTTACCAAGCCGAAGGACAATCAACGAATGAATGAATATGTTTTATGTTGATGGTTTAGCTTATTACACATTGTGAATATAGTTTCATTGCTAAATATCATGTGGAGAGACTCTCCCTTTGCTTTGAACATTTTTAAATGAGTTTAAGCTACTTTAGTCCTCACTGAGATTACTTAAACATTGTCGTGCTCAGAAATATCATGTCTAAGTTTCTTGTGCTTCAATTTTTAATTTATTATTATTTTTTTTATCTCCTTACTTAATAAATCCCCTTAAGGATGTATGCTTACTGTTATTGTACTTGGTTTGATACTATGTTTTACCTCTATGAGATTTTGTATTCTTTGTTAAAGTAAATAAAAAACTTCTGTTAGATATTACACAAAACAACATTTGTATTCAAATGATTCAAATGATAAATCAAATAACACTGTAAATGAAATCAATAGAAACCGTTCAAACAGTTTCCACAACAAATGCTATTAAAGCTTGTACACTTTCAGAAATAAAGGTACCAGATCTGCCACTGGGGTGGAGCCTTTTTAAAAGCTCATTTTTGTACAATACAAGTGGACGTTAGCATCTTTTTTTGTACCTTTAATGTACTGTGAGGTATTTAGGTAAAGTTGGTATTACACTTGCACAATCAGTGACAACTTGTGACATGCTCCCTATGTTGTTTTTTACCATGGTATTTTGAATATTCGGTCTGAAATCACATAGAAGTATGACCTGAAAAACAACATTAGCACTATTTATTTAACTGTGGACGATGTTGTACTTTGATTGTCGTTAACTGCTAATATGATTTCCCTATTTAGAATAGCGAAGACAACTTGATGATACAATTAAGGAGAAAGTCAGAATGTGTGAATATAAAACTAACTTGTCCTCAACCTGTGGTAAAAATGTGTACATTTATCTATTAATATGTTCCTTTAAGGACCTTTTGGGAACAAAAATGTACCTTTTGAAAAGTGACAGTGTATTTAAGAGTGTATTTATATGGTTTCTAGTTTATTCTGCATATATTTTATTGGTTATGTTGGCTTTAAATTCACAAATTCATTCAGACAACTTGTGACATGCTCCCTATATTGTTGTTTACCATGGTACTTTGAATATTCAGTCTGAAATTACATGCAAGATGACTCAAAACAACTTTAGAACTATTTATTTAACTATGAACAACGTTGTACTTTGATAGTCATAGGCTGCTAATATGATTTCACTTTTCAGAATTTGCAGAATCTGAACTTGTATAATTATGGGGAAAGTCAGAATGTGTGAATATAAAACCAACTTTTCCTCAACCTGTGGTAAAAATGTGAACATTTATGTATTAATATGTTCCTTTAAGGACCTGTTAGGAACAAAAATGTACCTTTAGAAAAGTGACAGAGTATTTAAGAGTGTATTTGAATGGTTTCTAACATATTCTGCATATATTTTATTGGTTACAGGTTGGCTTTAAATTCGCACATTCGTTCAGTGACAACTTGTGACATCCTCCCTATATTGTTTACCATGCTACTTTGAATATTTGGTCTGAAATCGCATGCAAGCATGACCTCAAAACAACATTAGCACTATTTATTTAACTGTGGACAATGTTGTACTTTGATAGTCATTAACAGCTAATGTGATTTCACTTTTCAGAATTAGTAAAGACTTCTTATCTGAAATGATATAATTAAAGAGAAAGTCTGAATGTGTGAATAGAAAACCAACTATTCCTCAACCTGTGGTAAAAAAAAAGTGCACTTTTTATGTATTAATATGTTCCTTTAAGCACCTGTTAGGAACCAAAATGTACCTTTAGAAAAGTGACAGTGTATTTAAGAGTGTATTTGAATGGTTTCCTGTGTATTCTGCATATATTTTATTGGTTAGGTATGTTTTAAATTCACACATTCATTCAGTGACAACTTTTGACATGCTCCCTATATTGCTGTTTACCATGGTATTTTAAATATTCGGTCTGAAATCACTTGCAAGTATGACTCAAACAACATTAGCACTATTTATTTAAGTGTGAACAATGTTGTTTGATAGTCATTAACAGCTAATATGATTTCTCTATTTAGAATTAGCAAAGACTTCTTATCTGAGATGATATAATTAAGGAGACAGTCAGATTGTGTGAATATAAAACCAACTGTACCTCAACCTGTGGTAAAAATGTGTACATTTATTTTTTAATATGTTCCTTTAAGGACCTGTTAGGAACAAAAATGGACCTTTTGAAAAGCGAGAGTGTCTTTGAATGTTTTCTAGTGGATTTTCGATATATTTTATTACAATTAATTGAATTTAACATGCCTTTAAGGGAATAAGTACACATAGAGGATCATTATAGATTCAGTTAAATATAATATAATCAATATATGAACAATATCATCTTTATTAAGGGGCATCATAGTGGCGCAGTGGGTAGCACGATTCGTTTGCATGTTCTCCCTGTGTTCGTGTGGGTTTCCTCCAGGTGCTCTGGTTTCCCCCACTGTCCAAACACATGCGCTACAGGTGAATTGAATAAACTAAATTGGCCGTAGTGTATGAGTGTGTATAGGTGTTTCCCAGTACTGGGTTGCAGCTGAAAGGGCATCCGCTGCGTAAAACATATACTTTATGTTATTTTATACTTTATGTATACTTTATGAATAGTTGGTGGTTCATTCCACTGTGGTGACTTCTGAAATAGAAACTAAGCCAAAGGAAATGAAATGAAATGAATATTTTAAACAAAATAACATCATGTTTTAGGTGCCTCGGCCCCTTGCCATGAAGAAAGAAGGCATTCAGACAAGGAAAAGAAAACCAAAGTCTTTGAGCAAAGTGAAAGGATCATCTGGTATGTTTAATAATGTTCATTTAAAAGCATTCCTTCATGTGTGGTCAAATGCAGATTAACTGACTGTAAAATAAAATGATCCACAGGCAGCAGCTCGGTCCCCATGACTCCAACTTCTTCATCGTCTTCTAACTCAGAGGAGTGCACAAAAAACAGTCCTTCGTCAACACAGGTGCCTGTAACATCAGTGAGTGTATAATCTTAGGTTTTTAAAATCCGCATTTATCAGCATGAAGTCTCATAATACATTCAGGATGAGTCAGAGGAGACAATATTCTATAATGACAAAAATGTGTACACTGTAAAAAAATATGACAAAAAGTAACAACAACAATTCTTAAGGGCACACTGTATTTTGATGGTCCGTTTGTTGAGTTTAAGTTACATGGCATCTACATGCTCAATAATTCTTATTAGATTATAAGTAGACTGTTAGGTTGGGGTTAGGATTAGGGTTGAGGTTGGGATTAGTGTTAGTTGACATGTACTTGCAAAGTTTCTTATAGTCAGTTAAATGTCTGTTAAAGGAGCAGTATCAACAATTATTAAGCAGACAGTCTACTAATACTCAAATAGACCATCAAAATAAAGTGTTACCATTTAACTTACTATTTTAGTTACTTTGACTGATGTAATTTGAAATGACTAGAAAAGTTAATTTGATTCAACTAAGAATTGTAAACTAAAAACTAATAAGACTAAGAAACTTCAACATTGTTTGTTTAATAACACACGGACATTCTCTGCTCTGATCCAGGTCAACTCTTCAACACTTGTGGGCCAAGTTGATGTCCCGGGCACGACCGGCTCCATGGTAAAGTTCCCCGGCCAGGAGAGCCTGTACACCAATGTAGGCTTGACGTCCAGCGCTGACGTGGCCAGTTCTGTCAGAGGGGACTCTTGGTGCCCCATGGCCTTGGCCTAAAGCCTGGCATCACGGGGACCATTCGCCGTCCTTCAGCTCTCTAGGGCATGTTTTTCGGTGTGTGTTGGTGATCTTGAGGCTGATTCCTTTCAAATACTCCACTTTTGTTTTGTTTTAATTCACCAATGGGAATACGGGACGTCCTTGATGGAGATTATCAATGCTTCTCTTGAGGATGACGCCTTAGAAGAGTCTACTTTTTTGGTACTTTTGGAGCACCGTCAGTGTTGGAGGAAGTAGATTTGTACATATTGATGCCAACGGATACTTCGGCTATCTGGAAACACACACGTGAGGTTTTTGATTGGATTGTGGTGATCTGAAGAGAGAGAGAGAGATAATAAAGAAATAATGATTGATCGTTCTGAAACTGGAAGATGTCAAGGAGTTCTTGACAAACGCAAACATATTTATGAAGCTACGGTTGTTCTAATAATGCATATATTTGTCAATAAAGTAATAGGACTGAAGCCTTGCCCTTCCTCTAAGATCTTTTTTGTTTGTTTGTTTGTTTGTTTTATAAGCGCGTGGACGTCGCTCACTAAACCTGCACGCCTTTTATGTGAAGTTTGAAAAGAAAATGCAAAAAAAAAAGCTCTTATAAGGTTGAACTGATTTGTGAACTGATTCGTGATGGTTTAACACAGGGTATCAAATTATTGAATCACGGTCCAATCAAGCAAAAGTTGTGTTCAGATTTTGTGTGAACTGTTTGTTTTTGAAAGTGTAAATCTGGCGTAGATGATCAGCAAAACATGAAAAATAAAATGATTATCATCCCATGTAGAAATCTAATTTATGCAAATTTATGCAAATGACCAATTTGGCATACAAGTTCGTATTTGGATTTTGCATTTACAAGATATGTCAAATATGCAACATATTTTTCAAAGATGAAAAAATGGGGCATATTAATTCATTTTCAGTTGGCTCAGTCCTTTATTTATTAGGGGTTGCCACAGGGGAATGAACCACCAACTATTCCAGCATATGTATTACGCAGCGGATGCCCTTCCAACTGCAACCTGACGCAAAAAGACACACACGTGTGTGTGTGTACGTATATATATATGTATGTATATATGTATATATATATATATATATATATATATATATATATATATATATATATATATATATATATATATAAAGTGACATTTAAAGACATAATTAGGTTAACTAGGCAGGTTAGGGTAATTTGGAAAGGTATTGTACAACGATGGTTTGTTCTGGACTATTGAAAAAAAATATAGCTTAAAAAGGCTAATAACTTTGACCTTAAAATGGTGTTTAAAAAAAAATTAAAAACTGCTTTTATTCGAGCCGAAATAAAACAAATAAGACTTTCTCCAGAAGAAAAAATATTATCAGACATACTGTGAAAATTTCCTTGCTCTGTCAAACATCATTTGGGAAATATTTAGCAAAGAAAAAAATTCAAAGGGGGGCTAATAATTCTGACTTCAACTGTATATGCTCATTCCCAAAATTATTCATTCCTCTAGTAAATTCTGATATAATTTTCAGTTCAAATGTGTATATATATATTTTTTTTTTCAGTGCTTCTAATATGACATTTTTCTCAGGCACTTGTGGCTAGGTTCAGTAAATTTACTTTTATGTTGATGAATCGGGCATTTTTATCATCTGTAAGGTCAAAAAATTTCATAGGATAATTAATAATAAACATAGGAGGTTGAGAAAACTGCAAATTTTTTGCACATTTTAGATGGCATTTAGAGGTTTTTGTATCTGAGCTATATTATATTATATACACACACACACACACACACACATACATATGTGTGTGTACATACATGTACATGTACATACATATACTGTATATCTGTGGCTGGAAGGGCATCCGCTGCGTTAAACATAGGCTGGAATAGTTAGTGGTTCATTACATGGTAATGCTTCTTTTACATTATATATATATATATATATATATATATATATATATATATATATATATATATATATATATATATATATATATATATATATATATATATATATATACCGTGCTCAACATAAATAAATACACCCCATTGTGAAAATGAATATTTTTCTCTATTTCTCACTGAATATAGGTAATGTATTTTGGTGCATTTAGAGTAAACAGATTTTTAAATGTATTATTTATATTTATTAAAATTGAAAGTTAAAACAAATAAATTCAAGCACAATATTGCAAAAAAAAAAAAAATACAACACAATATTTCAACAAGTTTTTTTTTTTTTGCTTTTCTTTTTTTCCCTTTAAATTATTTATTATTTTTCTATAACATATAAATTTGGGTGTACTAGTTTTGTACCGTTATCGTAAGTTAGTTTGTTAGATAAGCTCCAGATCTGGCTTTAATACTGACTAATCTAATCTAATCTAATATATATATATATATATATATATATATATATATATATATATATTTCATTTTTGCAATATTTTGAAATATATGTTGAATATATGGCATAAATAAAAAACACGAACTTGTAATTATATGTCAGTGAGGTTGTATATATTTTCATTGATAGTTTTTCTGTATGGGATATCTTTGGTAGAACAAACGGCACTCAGGATTTCTTTTCTGATGCATATTTTGTTACACGAAAAAAAACTGCAAAATAATAATAATAAAGAAGAGGTTTTGCTGCAATGATTTTATTTTATTTTATTTTGGATGTTAAACTACCTAAAGCTGTGCCATTGATGTGTGTATCAGTGCACGCTGCTGTTTATGTTATTTCTGTCTTTCGGGTGTGCTACACCCCTGCGGTCGCTACTTCAGCGGATCCTGCTTTCACAATTATTGAATGTTTTAGAGAGTCAGTCGTGTGCCAGAATCCACCACAGTCAAAGCTTCTTGTATAAAAACCACAAACATAATGAACCACGACAGTCGTTAATGAGATATGAAAAACTCATTGGTGATTTACTGCCTGTTAAACAGTCAAACTACAAGCTTCCCATGTAAACATTTTATAGATTAAACCAGTGTTTCTCAACCACGTTCCTGGAGGACCACCAACACTGCATGTTTTGGATGTCTCCTCTGCCTGTCACTCCCATTACAGGTCTTTCAGTCACTGCTAATGAGCTGTTGACCTGAATCAGGTGTGTTTGGTTAAGGAGAACTAGTAAATGTGCAGAGCTGGTGATCCTCCAGGAATGTGGTTGAGAAACACTGGAGTAAATGAGCAGATGATGGAGACTTTTATTTTGGAAATGTTTTGTGTGTCATAGAGAAACAGTTTGCCGTTTTTGTGATTCTCCACCTTTATGACCTCTAGAATTATTTATTTCTGCATTGTGGTGTGTTTGTTTTATTTGAATTAACGTATTTGTATTTTTGGTTGTGTTTTAGTTTTGTTTTGGGGCTTAATTTCAGTTCTGATTATTAATTTAGTAAAAAATGCAAGATGTGTTTTCTTTTGTTATTGTTATTATTTTTTAGATCTTTAAGCGTAAAACCTTCCATTTATTATGAAAGGTTTGTCGTCCTCATCATGTGAACCACTGGAACCGCGTCATTTTGTAATTATGATGAATTTAATTCAAATTATTATTATTTTTTTGGTATTGTCAACAGCAGTCAGTAAGCAATTTTGATAACAATCCCTACTGTTTTCCAGTGTATAGAGTATTGAGAAGGATGTCAATGTTAGATTATTATTATTATTATTATTATTAACACTGGAACAATAAATAAGAGCCGTGACTAAGTGAATTGTGTTTTTTTCCTCTCATTTACCTTTAAAAGTTATCTATGCAATTCAATTATGTATATACAGTTGAAGTCAGAATTATTAGCCCCCCTTTGAATTTTTCTTTTCTTTTTTAAATATTTACTAAGTTATGTTTAACAGAGCAAGGAAATGTTCACAGTGTGTCTGATAATATTTTTTCTTCTGGAGAAAGTCTTATTTGTTTTATTTTGGCTTGAATAAAAGCAGCTTTGAATTTTTTAAACACTATATTAAGGTCAAAATTATTAGCCCCTTTAAGCTATGCTTTTCTCGATAATCTACAGAACAAACCATCATTATACACTAACTTGCCTAATTACCCTAACCTGCCCAGTTAAGCTAATTAACCTAGTTAAGCCTTTAAATGTCACTTTAAGCTGTATAGAAGAGTCTTGAAGAATATCTAGTCTAATATTATTTACTGTCATCATGACAAAGACAAAAGAAATCAGTTATTAGAGATGAGTTATTGAAACTATTATGATTAGAAATGTGTTGAAAAAATCTGCTCTCTGTTAAACAGAAATTGGGGAAAAAAATAAACAGGGGGACTGATAATTGCGGGGGGCTAATAATTCTGACTTCAACTGTATATATAGCGCGATTGTGTCAAAGCAGCTTAACATGGAAGTTCTAGTAGATTGTATCAGTGTCAGTCCAGTTTTCAGAGTTGAAGTTCAGTTTAGTTCAGTTCAGTGTGGTTTCATTTTCACACTGAAGAGCAAATCCATCGATGCCCAGCTCCACAAGTCCCAAACCAAGCAAGGCAGTGGCGTCAGTGGCGAGAAACAAACTTCACCGAATGGCAAAAGTGAAGGTAAAACCTTCAGGGCTCTTTTGACGATCCATGCGCAAAGTTCAAAGCGCAGGGCGCAAAAGCATTAAGGCCATGTCTGAATCCACTTTTGCAATTTTAAGGATGGAAAAATACTGCGGCGCATGGTCTAACAGGGTTGAGCTAATTCTCCTAATGAGTTACAGGTGTGTTTTGAGAATAAACCAATCAGTCTCATCTCCCATTCCCTTTAAGAGTCAGTTGTGTCGCACCACAGTGCATTTGCTATTTACACGGCGGACTTTGTAAATGGAAAAACTGAACACTTCACTAGTGAGAAAACAGTTAAACAGAGCGTCTGCAGCGCGAGGATAAGAGATGAGCCTCCTCGGTCTTTACTTTCACTTTCACTCTGGTAGATAGGGAAACGTGTTGTACGCACATCAATTAGCCTATAAAATTAATTGTGTTTGTTAAGGGCAAAGATTTGTTTCAAAACTATTTCTAAATTCAGTTTTAATTTCCAGCAAAGGAATAAATGAACAATATTAACGAAGTGTGCTCAAAAACCTGAGTTATATCCTAAAACACATGCTGTGCCCCATATGGTCTAAAACCTGACAGGTGGACAAATCTAAGCTTGTTTTTAATAAAACAAATATAAATATGCATATCATAAATAATACTGCTAATAATGATAGCATTATAAAAAAGCAAATTGTCATGAATGAACTGAAAAAGCCCCCCGAGATGAAGAGGGCATGAAGGCAGTGGTTTTTATATTTATGTATGCTAGAAAATGATATTTTTTGTAATATTTTAATTCTTTAATTCTTTTTCATTTGTAAATATATTTGTGAGGCCCACAAATAACTGCTCTGCGCTGGACTTTAGAGACTTGCTTTGATCTGGTCTATTGTGCAGTCGATTACAGTTCCTCAAAAT